GAATGTTAGAAACCTGCAACCATTGACTTTCATAGTATTTGTTTTTCCTACTATAGAAGTCAATGATTACCAGTTTGAAAATTTATTTAAGAGTATTTTGAAGAATGTTAACAACCTGTAACCATTGACTTCCATAGTATTCATTTTTCCTACTATGGAAGTCAATGGTTACCAGTTTCCGACATTATTTAAGGATATTTTGAAGAATGTTAAAAACCTGTAACTATTGACTTTCATAGTATTCATTTTTCCTACTATAGAGGTCAATGGTTACCTGTTTTCAAAATCATTTAAGAATATTTTGAAGAATGTTAAAAACCTGTAACCACTATCTTCCATACTATTTGTTTTTCTACTATGGAAGTTAATGGTTACCGGTTTTCAGCAAATATCTTCTTTTGTGAACCTCAGAAAGGTTTGAAACATGTAGATGATAGCAGAATCTCTTTAAAATAAGTATTACAGCATTATTTTTTTAAATGCAGCAGTGTTTGGTGTGTATTACAGTGTTCCTATTTGATAGCTCATTATAGCCACAGTATTAAAACATGTTGTAATGAATTCTCTGTTTAGCTTTAATACGAAGCCGTCGCCGCGGTTTAAACACTGCTCATTTTTTAGTAATGCTCTTGATGTGCAGTTTGATAAGTGTGTAATTCAGTGTTATCTCTTCTCCGAGGCTGTCGACCCCTTTGAGATGTTTGATCTGCTCGATAGCGCTTTCAAACAGAATATTGTGTGTGGAATTTAAATGGGTCGAATCCGTCGTGTGGTTATGATGAGCTTTGTGCTGTCGGTGCGTCTCTGATCAGAGCAGATTGAGGGAGACTTCAGTCAGAGAGCTGGTTTTATTATGGTTCCTCTGTTGTTTATGTGGAGTACATTACTGACAAAAAAATGTTAGTTTAAACAAATAAATTAAGTCGAATATTAATTAATTTAATTTGTTTAAATTCACCCCATATATATTTTTTGAAACCGGTAACCATTGACTTCTATAGTATTTTTTTTCAACGTGATTTAAAGATATATTGAAGAATGTTACCAACCTGTAACCATTGACTTATATAGAATTTGTTTTTCCTACTATGGAAGCCAATAGTTACTGGTTTTCAACATAAGTTAAAGATATTTTAAAGTATGTTAAAAACCTGTAACCATTGACTTACATAGTATTTGTTGTTCTTAACATAGAAGTGAATGGTTATTGATTCCCAACTTTAAGATATTCTGAAGAATGTTAGAAGAAACTTGTAACCTTTGATTTTCATAGTATTTTCATACCATGCAAGTCAATGGTTACAGATTTTTAACATTCTTCAAAATATTTGAAGAATGACTTCCATTTGTTTTTACTGCTATGGAGGTCAATGGTCACCGGTTTCCAACATTATTTAGAGATATTTTGAAGAATGTTAAAAACCTGTAACCATTGACTTCCATAGTATTTGTTTTTCCTACTATGGAGATCAATGGTTACCGGTTTCCAACATTATTTAACGATGTTTTGAAGAATGCTAACAACCTGTAACCATTGACTTCTATAGTTTTTGTTTTTCCTACTATCGAAGCCAGAAGCTACCAGTTTCCAATGTTATTTAAGGATATTTTGAAGTATGTAAAAAAATTTGGATATATTTATTTACTTTATAACTCGCAATTCTGACTTAATAACTCTGAATTCTGTCTTAACTCATAATTCTGACTTAATAACTCTGAATTCTGTCTTAATAACTCTCAATTCTGACTTAATAACTCTGAATTCTGTCTTAATAACTCGTAATTCTGACTTAATTACTCGTAATTCTGACTTAGAAACTCGGAAGATTGTCTTTACTCTGAATTCTGTCTTAATAACTCTGAATTCTGACTTAATAACTCAGAATTCTGACTTAATTACTCGGAATTCTGTCTTAATAACTCGGAATTCTGTCTTAATAACTCAGAATTCTGACTTAATAACTCTGAATTCTGTCTTAATAACTCTGAATTCTGACTTAATAACTCAGAATTCTGACTTAATAACTCAGAATTCTGACTTAGAAACTCGGAAGATTGTCTTTACTCTGAATTCTGTCTTAATAACTCTGAATTCTGACTTAATAACTCAGAATTCTGACTTAATTGCTCGGAATTCTGTCTTAATAACTCTGAATTCTGTCTTAATAACTTGGAATTCTGTCTTAATAACTCTGAATTCTGACTTAATAACTCAGAATTCTGACTTAATGACTCGGAATTCTGTCTTAATAACTCGGAATTCTGTCTTAATAACTCGGAATTCTGACTTAATAACTCTGAATTCTGTCTTAATTTTTCTTCAATTAATTTTTCTTTTTTATTATTCAGAGGTGGAAACGGGCTTCCATAATATCCATAGCAGTAAAGTGCAAAAAATTAATTTCATTTTATGTGATGAACCCGTGATTCTTATTATAAAATGCAAAAATATCACTATGTTTGTGTTTTTGTGTTTATAAGATCTGATCTAGTTCTGTAATATCACACAAACCAGAGCGATGCATCACAGATGAGCTATTGATTTCCTACAGCAGTTCGACAGACAATGAGGTGCTATTGAGTGAGCTTCGTTTCAGACTCAATTGCCTCGTCTCTTTTGTTGTTATTGTTGTTGTAGAAATTAATTTCAGACAAAGCAGGAATAAATGTGCATCTCAGAGCAAGAAAACATGCAGTGGATTTAATATTCTGCCCCAAACTGGCTTATTTTAGATGACTAGTTTCATAAAAATTTGTATTGTAATTATTAATTCATTCATTTTTCTTCGGCTTAATCCCTTTATTCTTCAGGGGTCGCCACCATGGAATGAGCCGCCAACTATTCTAGCATATGTTTTACACAGCGGATGCCCTTCCAGCTGCAACCCAGTACTGGGAAACACACATACACATTCACAAACACACTCATACACTAGTTCATCAATTCCCCTATAGTGCATGTGTTTGGAGTGTGGGGGAAACCGGAGCACCCGGAGGAAACCCACGCCAACACGGGGAGAACATGCAAACTCCACACAGAAATGCCAACTGACCCAGCCCGGGACTCGAACCAGCGACCTTCCTGCTGTGAGGCGAACCTGCTATGTGCTATGATTTTATGAATATTACAGCTATTAAAATTGTATTGTAATTAATGCAATGTAAATAATAAAGCAATTAAACTTCAAGTTGTTTACTAAAAGTATCACAACAATTTGGAATATTAAACCAATTGAATAAATGCATATTTCTGTCTTTTTAAACAGAATAAATTATACATTATTTTTAAAACCATTATCCAAAAAATGTCAAATAATTTTTTTTCATGTAATATGGAATGTTTTTTTTCCGTAATTTTATGTATTTGTAATATGTAATGTATTTTATAAAGTGTAATTTTAGTCATTTATTTTGTAATATGTAATTTTTCATGTCATTTTCAGTTTCAATTTGAGTTTCTAAGTGAGTCTGTTTTAAGAAATTATTATTTTAATGTCATATTTTATGTCTCTTGTGCAATATTTATTTATTTTTTTCAAATATTTCCCAAATGATGATGAACAGATTTATTCATTTTTCTCAGTATTTCCTATAATATTTTTCTTATTTTTTTTCTTTAGCTAGAATAAAAGCAGTTCTTAATATTTTTAAAACTCATTTTAAAGTCAATATTATCAGCCCTTTTGAAATAATATTAGACTTTTCAAGACACTTCTATACAGCTTAAAGTGACATTTAAAGGCTTAACTGGGTTAATTAGGGTAACTAGGCAGGTTAGGGTAATTAGGCAAGATATTGTATAACGATGGTTTGTTTTGTAGATTATCGAGAAAAATTATAGCTTAAAGGGGCTAATAATTTTGTACCTAAAATGGTGTTTAAAAAATTAATAACTACTTTTATTCTTGCCGAAATAAAACAAATAAGACTTTCTCCAGAAGAAAAAATATTATCAGACATACTGTGAAAATGTCTTTGCTCTGTTAAAAATCATTTGGAAAATATTTAAAAAGAAGAAAAAAATTTGAAGGAGGCTAATAATTCTGACTTCAACTGTATATATATTTAAAAAATATTTTATTTATAAATTGTGAAACATTAAAAAAATATACAAAGACATAAACATGTAACAATAAGCAAATACACTGAAGAGTATTTCAAGCAAATAATAATAATAAAAATAAATAAATAAATAATAATAAATAAAAATAAATAGATAAATAAATAAAAAGCAACAACACAAGTGCAACCCTATAAACAGAAAAAAAACAAGTCCACACTGTGTTGACCAGAAAGTGTCCTGTAAAAGCTGGGCATTAGGGGATGGAGACTCAATCAGAAGGAGCAGGGTAGAGCTGAAGAGTTTGGACATATTTGCGAAGGGGTTCCCACAATTTAATAAAAATAGTGCTAGTTCAGTGAAGAGAATACCTAATTGTTTTTCTAATTTCACAAAATAAAGAACATTTCTTATCCAACAAGTGTGAGAAGGAGGGTGAGGGCTCTTCCAGTTCAGAATTAATCGTCTAGCCAGAAGGGTTAAGAAGGCTACAAAGTCTACAAAATGAAAGGGTAGAGTGTGGTCGGGCGGATGAACCCCAAATAAACCAATAATTGGACATGGTGGGATATCAACAATGGTAATAGCTGATAGCGAGAGGAATATTTGTCTCCAAAAGGAAAGAGTTCTTAATATTTTAAAAACTAATTTTAAAGTCAATATTATCAGCCCTTTTGAGCTACATTAGTGTTGGATTGTCTCCAGAACAAACCACTGTTATACAATGACTTGCCTAATTACCCTAACTTTACCCTAATTACCCTAGTGAAGCCTTTAAATGTCACTTTAGGCTGTATACTAGTGTCTTGAAGAATATCTAGTCTAATATTATGTGCTGTCATCATGGCAAAGAGAAAATAAATCAGTTATTAGAGATGAGTTATTAACACTTATGTTTAAAGACATGTTGACTAATGGAGTGTGTCTTTCTGTGTTTCAG